TCAACTCAAATCAATATAAACTCCGTAATAACAAGCGACAACGACTATGTGAGTCCGGCATTCGTACCGTTAAGCCGGATGCGCGCTACAAAATGATATGTAAATTGCCCGGATTTAGACCGTTAATTGGTTGGAAATCCACATTTCCTAACACCTATTAAAAACGCGTGTTCGGTCAATTGGCGAACAGTCACTCCGTTCGTATTTGGCGTTCTATCAGTTTACCTTCTAAATGGATGATTCCAAAATTTATCAATGCAAATTTAATCGTTGATTGCATGCCACCATAATTCTGTAATCCAATTTTTTTCTCGCTTACCAGCAGAACAACGTGAATTTTTAATCGATCCACCGAAAACATCCGAACCACAATTCAGTGTTTTGTGATTGCATTCTGAGTCACAAAAACATGAAACGCTGATCAAGCTGCAAAAAATTGTGCGCGGGAACGATTCAAAACGTGTTTCACTGGTTCGGCCGTGCAGTTTGCCTGGAATCGTTCTTACGGATTGGTTTATTGGAATATATTTGTGTTTAGTGCCGTCGTTTTTATTAGTTCAAATTGCTCGCAATCAGTTCAGAATATCATCCTGTTCGTTAAAAAATATGCAAAATTCCTGGAGTTCCCATGTAATGCACTTGATTAATTGCGTTCAGTAATTGCTTCATAACATAAGGCATTGTTTTCATTTGCCCATGCGAATCATCGTTGTGTTTTGATTTCGTTCATTATAAGCATATACAAATTGTGGAATTTGTGGCTTCTAGTCGATGATTTTTTTTTTGAAGGTATCGTTGAAATGCGACTGAAAGGACGGCGATCCGGTCCAGCAAAACGCAAAAGTTTTCGAGTGAAGCATGCGCCAGGGACTGCTGAACGTAGAAGTGTCACACCGTCAGATGCGTCTAGCACTGTGGATCATGAAAATAATACAGAAACGTCGGTAGATACGCTCCGATGCCCTCCGATGAGCCCCAAAGCTGTCAGGAGTGCATCGGTTATGCCAGAAGCTGAAGATGTTACCGTGGCAGACACGCCGAATGCTCTGGATAAGAGTTTTGTGAGTGACGTTGCTACCTCACCAGTTCGTTGTGGTCGAAAAGGAGCACCGAGGTGCCAAGTTTTTTCTGCTCAACCAAGCAGAACAATAAAATTCGGTGATTATTTATTTATTCGGTGTTTTCTTGAAGCATTGACTCCAATTCATTCACCCTTTCATTGCAAGTGATGCTGATACAACCGAAAACGAATTGAACATACGATGAAAGCATGATTTTTGGTCATAAAGTTTTTGGGTGTCAACTTCATGAGTGGATAAATTTATTCGCTAGCAATTACAACGATTCACTGCGAACAGAAAGCACCCTTTTTTACTGATCAGATTAAGGCTTCATCGATGATCAACGCATTAGTTTTCGTATTTCGTTATCGGTGATAATGACTGACGAAAATAACTGCAATTTCTTCATTCAGAACACTCTTGAATTAGCGAACCAGAACTAAGTTTGGGAATGCGACTAGCGGACGGTGATAACTCATTGTAAAGTCGATTGATGAATTGAGCACTCTTGTTTGATGATACCAGATAATTTTATTCCTGAATACAGACAGGGATGCAACGACGAGACGGCGAGCACTAAATCATTCCATTTGTACCTACGAACCGAAGAAACGACATAAGCCAACTTCTGAAGACTACTGTAAAGTATGCCTATTCAAAATCACGAAATCGTTGTATACTGTGCCAAAGGCAGCTCGAAATTCACAACCAGCAAATGAGCTCTTAAGATTGTATTATTCTAGACTGAAGCAGTCAGTGTTGCTTGAATGCGATATGCTAAAGTAATCTTATGTAAATTGTCGGTAGTGCTATTTTGTGTTTGTAATAAAATTGATCACCTTCAGATAGCGCTGTACTTGCTGCGTAGGCTGGAGGAGGGGTGTTGGCAGTGGAGAGGGAATGTCATCTGGAATGAAGCAGTCGAGGAGGAAGTGACGGAGCTCTCATCGCAGGCAATGCGAAGTCTGTAAGTTGTTTCGTGGTTGAGATGGTAGTTATAAGCGGGTTGTGGTGATCTTGTATTGAACACGTTTGTGAAAAGCGCAGCAGCTACAAGGCATAGCGCGAACTTTGAGTCTCAGCTTGACGGCAGAGATTTCGTTAAGAAGGAGCCGGAGGTCGACCCCAGCCTCAGGATGATTTTCAAACTAGGAGGAACCGTTGTGAAGCTCAGCGTTAGGCGTAGTAAGTTTAAGCTTCAGATTGGTATGCTGTCCTCCAGCCTCTGTGAGAAAAAAGTTGACTATAAGATTGTGCCATTATATGTGTAATATCTTGAGGAATTTCGTTATTTTTCTCCATCATTTTTAAGCGATCATATCAAGATGGAACACTATAATCTCCGTTTGGTTGAAGTTTTGGGTAAATTTATAGGGCCTTACGGATACCGGCAAAGCTCGATGAGCTGAATATATCGCCGTCGAAGAAGAGCGCATTATTGCGAAAGTTGGAAGTGGCTGAGATAAGGAGACGGAAGAAGGAATGGGGTGATAGTACGATTAATTATGCTCAGGCTAGTTTTTTTGTTTTTTGTTTGTTTGCTCAGTAAAAGAAGAGACTTTAAAAGATGTAATAGATATGTGTTCATGAGTTTAGTGAGCTCTACGCAGCTGCATTATTTTATTTTCAGTTTCCGATAAACTGATTTTCGAGATTTCTGATGCTCAAAACTATTTAAGTGTATCCTAAGGTTGAGGATCTGTCACATTATTAATTAATTTTTTGCTGAACTTAACTGTCATTTAGAAAGTGGGATTATCGAACAATACAAGGACAAAGAGGAATTCGGACCGAAAAGATGAAACGTTGAAAAAAGTTAGCGGCGATAGTGTGCTGAACGGAGATAACAACGATGATACGAAGCCAGGTGGAAGTGTTAGTGACGAAGAAGCGCGAGAAATTTTGGTTTCTAAACGAATTCAATCAGCTACTTCACGTATATATTCACAGGTTCGTCGTCTCAGTCGATTCTCTAAGTTTCAGTTCACCACTTAAAATGACGATGATGAGCATGTTGAGGAATGAAAAATAAAAGTGTTAGGCCAACATGATTGTTTGCATGATTTGAGTTGATTGTTTTCTCTTCTTATCATACGCTTTTTAGTTCATCGCTCGTGCATCCAACGATATCAGTAAGGAAGAGTTGTCATCGTTGGTGGATTCAGTGAAAACAGCAATTCGAATTCTGTCAAAATACGACGTTAAGCCAAATGACATTTTCGTCTCGTGAATGAATGTGCAATAATTTCTTCTGAATTCACCTAACGCATACACTTTTATTTGTGGACTATATTTTGTTTCGAGTTGACTGCATAAATGCTTCGAAATTATCGAGCATCCATTCATCCGTCTTCTTGAGTAATTAATTATCGTGTACTGCCAAAAATCAAAGTAGAAATTGCGAGTTGTTGTTCGATGGCAACATATTTCTGTCTTTTTTGAACCATTAGTTTATGATTTCATTATGTGATTTATCAGTGGAGGCTGCTTTGTTTAACCATTGCAAAATGTAACCATTCAGTATTATTTTACGTTTGATATGGATCATCTCATTTGGAATCTATACTAAGGCTTTATTTTATGCGTTTTTGGTTTTGTATTTCTTTTGGGATTGATGGTATGTTGGTTCGTATTAGGTGGATTAAGTGTACTTTCCTATCATTTAAAATTCATTGTAATTTCTGCGAATTTCACTCCAACTTCGTGTTGTGCACTGAACTTTGCATCGTTCTAAATGATGCTTGTCGTAATCTGTGCTTGACTATTAATGCTGAACATGTTTAGCCATTGAAGGAGGCTATCTTGAAGCCGAATGGTTTATTAGTAAGGTTCATTTGGTCACTAATTTGCTAAGAATATTTTGTGTATTTTCGTTGTATGTTTGAATCATTTCCAGTCTCATTTTGTTTATAACTACTACCTATTGTATATACATCGGATAATGTAATTCAGTTCAATAAATCAAACTTTCAAGTCGAATTGTTAGTGTCGAAGGTATGAAATCCTTAATGTAATGGATACGTCATATCGTCGTTTATCTTTAACATCTGTTGAGTTTTCAAATTTATCTAAATTTGAATATCACACTAAATTGCTCTTGGGCAGATGGATAAGCTCATTATCAACCCTTTACCAAGCGATTTCTTGCAATGAACAGTGACTATTCTGATTTTTTTTTCTTGGTCGAAGATTATTTGCTCAAATGAATGTTTAGCTGAGTGCTTCAGTTTTTAAGGATTTCTTTGGATAAGCTCTCGGAACGAACATTTACATATGAGTGAGGGATCAAGTGTGACTCGTGAGAATTTCTTGGCATGTTCAGAGCAAATTGGACGTAGTTCACCCGAACTTTGGCCTGAACAATTGCCAGGCGCTTGGGATATGTGGAAGAATGTATGCTTTTTTTACTATCTATCGTATTTTAATGGGTTCTGAAGAGAGGGAAGAAGTGATTGCGTTGTTGTTTTTTGGTGATCGTAAAGTATAGTCGAGTTTGCAGTGCTCTGCTCCTGGAACAAAACCGAC